GCTGCTTAAGTACATACAGCAAATAGCTACGCCGAGCGTACGTCACGTGCATCATCTAATTTTTCAGGGTACCACCTTTCCGACGAGTTTCAGCCACCGTTCGGCCTTCGTCCTCCTGACGCGTTAAGCGCGCTCAATACCAGAAGAGCCCGGAAACCGGCTCCTTCCAATACGCCCCCTCGCACGAGAACACGTAGGATACTGCGCCCCCTCGAGCATCAACCCTGCGCTGGTCTAGAAGAGCTGAATGTGGCCTTCTGACATATGCGCTACGTTCGCCCGCACGTCGTCCTTCTTCTTCGCCTTCTCATCTTCTGAGCTCTCAGCCTCCTTGAACACCGTCTTACACTCGCGCTTCGTGTGGCCCTTCTTGCCGCATCGGTAGCACTGTGGTCTTGGCTTCCGTTCTTCCTGCCCCTGGCTCTTCGGAGATCCTCCCAGGCTCAGCCTTCCTCCTTCCTGTCCCTTGGCTCTAGCTGTGTACGCTGTCGCTCTGGCCACTGCATCCAGTGATGCCTCCTCCACATCTGTCTGCCTCATCTCCTCATTGAGTAACTTGGCAACAACATTTTCCGTGGTGAGTTGATCAGCTGGTAGTGCATCCAGTGCCATGACGAGTGGCTCATAGCACTTGCCGAGACCCGAGGTGAGTGCTAAAATGAGATCTTCTTCCGTTACTGAGATATCGGCATGGAGGAGATGTCGGACCTGTGTCTTGATGCGTCCGATCCACGTTGACATCGGCTCCTCACTCCCTTTCGCCATCCGATTCATCCTCCTTCGCATAGCCATCCGTGTTGCAAAACCATGTGCCCGGTGAACCTGCTCCAGGACTTCCCAACAGACTTTGGGGTCCTTACTCACCAGGTGCACAAGTTGTCCATCTGTCACGCGCCTGACTAGCTCTGCTCGGGCAATTCCCATGTCCTTTCTCGAGCGCTGCCGACGCCATTCCTCCTCCCTCGTCTCCTTTTCTGCCACTGTCTCGCCCTCTGAGCCTTCTTCCGGCTGCACGACTGACCACAATCCCTTCCTGACTAACTCGGCCTCCATGCGCATGACCCAGTCTGTGTAGTTGGTCTCATTGAGGACCGGGAACTTGACAGAGTTTGCTTCGTCGGCCATTGTCTAGGTGAGTAATGTTGTCATCGTCTAGAGATGGGCTTCGGAGAATAGTGAGGAGATGAAGCAGGTTTGGTAAGTCATTTGTGTCGAAACCAGAGTCGCCAGACGAGATGGCTGACCCAATTCGGGCCCCAGGGACCTGACTAGAGTGCGTATAGGGTGTACAAATGACTGCCGTTCAGCACAGTCGTCCGCTGCTTAAGTACATACAGCAAATAGCTACGCCGAGCGTACGTCACGTGCATCATCTAATTTTTCAGGGTACCACCTTTCCGACGAGTTTCAGCCGCCGTTCGGCCTTCGTCCTCCCAACGCGTTAAGCGCGCTCAATACCAGAAGAGCCCGGAAACCAGCTCCTTCCAACAGAATCCCACCAACAGCTGCAGAAGGATCAGGTGATCCACGCAGATGTCGACAGATATCGCATGACACAGTTGCAGCTCTCTGCAGCTCTATCGCACCAGTTGTACGTTTGACAATGTTGGAGGTCTCTTCGATAAAGGAGGTCTAATGAGTCTCGTGTCCTGTTCGTGGTGCTCGTAGAACCTCTGCCCAAGCCAATCTGGAACTTCAAGCTGATCCATCGCACGCCAATTCGTTTTTTTTTGTATCATAGCACACTTCGCACGACTAGAACAGGGAAACATCGAACTTTTTCATCTGGGCTCACTCTGTGGATGTGATGGAAGGACCGTGACACTCAGAAAGACGCATCCGGTTACATGTGACAGAGTTTGCATCTCGGCGGCGTGAATTGCTCGCTCGAGCTCACTTATCACTGTGTCGTCTGTGATTTGTGTTGAGGAACATCATTTTCATCTCTGATTATGTTCATGATTCTTGCACTATATTTTTTTTGCAAAGATCATTCAGGGAAGGCCGACGCCCCCACCCACCATGACTGATTCTGCCACTCATGAAGTTCACTTTGTGTCACAAAGCACAAAGCACTTAACCCAATTAAGGGCAAGTCTGCTTGTGTGACCTGCACAAATAAATCCACAACATAAAAGCCTGCCACAAGGGCTAGGCTGAGGATGGCGTGCAGTGGCATACAACCAGCAATCAAGGCAAAGCCCCAATGCATGGCCTTTGTCACGGCACGCCGATGACAAAGATAGACAACCAAATAGAGAGTCCCCTTGAGGGTCTCCTGGCTAAGAGCCTACAGCAACAAGCTGTGGTGATACGACATGCCCACTGATGAGACCCGAGTGCTAGTCGCAGAGTATGACTTACTGGTGAGGCAGAGGGCGCTATCACAAGATGTGAATGCAAGTAGATTGTATAGCACACTGAGAGTGTCTGGTAAGACCCCTCTGTGATGGTAGTGGTGGATGAAGGAGAATCAGACTGAGGTCTCCTCCTCGTCTAGCTGGTCCTTATATACATGATTGCCTAGCTACTATACAGTACTATGTAAGCGAGTCACACGCTACTCTACTGATCAGTGCTACAATCGTACGACATGTCCCAATTATCCTGATTGGCTGCCTAATAATAATCTGCGGAGACGGGGCTCCTCTTGAGCATGCAATATGGCGTTATGGTGATTGCGACATATGACGCCATGCCGAGGAGTTTGGTGTCACGTGACAATGCCGAGAGAGATCCGAGGTCATGTGACTAGATGTCTTTTATCTTATCTCTTATTAAGTCATGTGACTTCTTGTTCAACGCGAAATGATGAAAATAATATGCTTCTAATAGCATTCGTTCCTATAATGACTTGTCAGGTAAAAATCGTGACATTACCCCCTTCTCAAGGTTCATCGTCCTGATGAGCCAAAGCCTTTGGCGCCTCATATGGTTCACTTTGCGAGTGAACTATCTGCTTCAGAAATGATTCCTGGAGCGTAACGTTCACATATGAGTTGTGCGACACGATCACCTGTCCTGACCTCGAATGGTTTGCTGGTCATATTAATGAGGAGCACCTTGATTTCCCCTGTGTAATCTGGGTTAATTACCCCTGCTGCGACATCGATTCCTTTGAGGGCTAGCCCACTTCGGGGGGCCACTCGAATGTATGTCCACTTTGGAGGATCAACCGCGAGTCCAGTGCCAATGAGCATTCTGGAGTGTGGGGGGATGTCTATGTCTTGTACGGACTTGACGTCCCAGCCAACAGCTTCTGCAGAACCCTTGTAGGGTGCTCAGGCATTTGGATGGGTGTGGAAGAAGAACATGAATTCATCAGGGTGGTCGGACAGAGCAATTTTGTGTGCTTTGCGTGTTCGCGGCTTTGCTCTTGGAGCATCTGGGTGTGTCTTGTGGAATTCTTTTACTTTGTCTTTGACGTTTGTGAGGTTTTCCAATGGTTTCCAAGTATTATTGCTGTGGTCGTAGTCCAACCATTTCACGAGATACTGGGTTTTGTTATACCTGACTCTTGAATCCAGGATGTCCTCTACGTCCCATTCTTCTGCTCCGTCAATGATGATTGGGGGGTTAGGGGGAGGTACGCGTCCAGGGATAGAGTCTTGATGGAACATTATAAGCTTAGAAGCGTGAAACACAGGATGTATCTTCATGTCCGCTGGTAGTTGCAGTTTGAATGATATGACTCTGATCTTTTCGAGGATCTTGAATGGTCCATAGTTTTGAGTCGCTAGCTTTTGGCTTTTGACTTTGACATGGAGGTCTTTTCCTCGAATAAGCACTTCGTCTCCTACTTTGAAAGGGACGTCCTGCTTTTTAAGGTCGAAGTACCATTTCATTCTTTTTGCTGCTAATGACAAAGCGGCACGAGCTTGTTCCTGTGCTTGATCGTGGTTGTGGAATAGGTGTTCCAGGGATGGGTGTTGTATCCCTTCCAGTACATCTGGTGCCATTCGGGGGTGTCGACCATGCTCAATGAAAAATGGGGACAGGCCTGTCGATTCTGAAGCTTGGTTATTGTATGCGAATTCCGCTGTGGGCAATAGTGTAGCCCAGTCAGTTTGCCGGTAATTGCAGTACATACGCAAATACTGCTCCAGAATCTGATTGACTCGTTCAGTCTGTCCATCCATTTCAGGGTGATAAGCTGTAGACATCGTAGATTTGATGTGAAGTTTCTGGCAGAACTCCTGGAATAGTTTGGCTGAGAACTGTGTGCCTCTATCAGATATGATCTGCCGGGGAATTCCGTGGAGTTTGAATACTTCAGTATAGAAAATCGATGCTACTTGAGATGCTGTCACCATGTCGTCTACTGGGTAGAAGTGTGCATGTTTGGTGAACCTGTCGACAACTACCAAAATGGCAGTCTTCTTTTCTCCCCTGTGGTCTGGGCTTGGTGGTAGCTGTGTAATCAGGTCACAGGTAACCATTTCCCAAGGCCCTTCTAGTACTGGGTTAGGTTGAAGTAGTCCGTAAGGCTTCTGCTTGCTCGTCTTGTTTCTTTGACAGGTTACGTAGCCTTGGACGTACTTCTTAACATCAATGGTGAGCCCTGGCCACCAGTAATCCCTGCTAATCAGTTCTTGTGTCTTCCGTCACTCGGGGTGTCTGGCCGTGGAGATGTCATGGTGTAACTTGATCAGCTCATTCTGCAGCGTAGAGTCCTTTGGAACGTAGACCTTTCCTCTTCTGAGCAGCAATCCATGCTCAAAGTTCCACTCTTGAAGGTCTTTTTCGAACTCTCGCTTGGCAGTTTTTAGTAGGTGCTGGTAACCTTTGGTCATTTCGTCGTCTTGCAGTGCTGATTTCACTCTTTCTAGAAGTTTTGCATTGTCAACTTCGGAGGAATGAGTGGCTGAGATCGCATGGATGGCAAAGTATTCGGGTCGAAGCAAAGTTTGCCCTGAATTGTCATTGCTCACCCCCTTCTCATGATCTGGCCTCTTGGACAGAGGATCGGCATGCATCATCGTCTTTCTGGGGCGGTGATGGAGAATAAAGTTAAATCTTGTAAGGTAAAGTAACCATCGAGCTTGTCGTCTGGTCAGTGTCTGAGCTTGTCAGAAATAGGTAAGATTAAGGTGATCTGACCATATCTCGACTGGGTGCGGGTGTCCTTCAAAGTATTGCCTATATTCTTCCAATGCCCGAATGATAGCTAGCATCTCCTTGTCGTAAATCTCATAGTTGCACTCATGTTCGTTGAGTGACTTGGAGTAATAAGCGACAGGATGCCAGAGTTCATCTTCTCCCAACTGTTCAAGGACTGCGCCTGTGGCAAAATCCGAGGCATCTGTCTCTAGTCTAAAGGGACAGATTGCATTGGGAAGGGCTAGGATTGGGGTGGAAGTGAATGCAGTTTTGAGGGCATCGAATGCCTTTTGTTGAGGGTCTTCCCATTTCCATGGTGCGTCCTTACGTGTTAATAGAGTCAAGGGTCGGGTCATCGATCTGAAATCCTTGATGAATTGCCGATAGAAATTTGCCAGACCAAGGAATGCTTGTACTTGCTTTACCTTGGTGGGCACCGGCCATTTAAGCATGCCGTCAACCTTCTCTGAGTCCATTTGTATTGATCCTTTTGAGATTATGAGTCCAAGAAACTTGATGAAAGTAGTTGCAAAGTGACACTTTTCTGGTTTCATGAACAGGTCATTGTCTCTGAGTCGTTGTAGGACTCCTTGGTCAGACAATCCGTAAAGATGATGATGTCATCTATATAAACTGCCACCTTTCCAGTGCGAATGAGATCGCCTAAGATGTCGTTCATCATGGCCTGGAAAGTGCTAGGGGCATTACAGAATCCGAAGTACATGACAGTGGGTTCAAATAATCCTCTATGGGTAATGAACGCTGCCTTTTTCTCATCTCCTTTGTGAAGGCGTACATTGTTGTACCCCCATCTCAGGTCTAGTGTGGTAAATATACTAGCCCTGGAGAGTCCATCAATGAGATCGTTGATTCGCGGGAGTGGGAACTTGTTTTTCTTGGTGACACTGTTTAATGCCCTGTAGTCTTGGACAAGTCTAAGAGAGCCATCTTTTTTCTTGACGAAAAATACCGAAGCAGCATAAGGGGATTTAGACGGTCGAATGTAGCCTTTGGCTTGTTCACCGTCAATCCATTCGTCGAGCGAGTCCTTTTCTCGTAAAGACATAGGGTATACTTTTGTTGGTCTCGGGGTTGCCGCGTCTGGGACAAGATCAATTGCATGATCATAGGGCTTACGTGTCGGCATTCTTTCTGAGCTCTTCTTCGAGAACACATCTCCGAATTGATGAAATTCTGGAGGGACGAATTTGGACCAATATTCTTTGTCCTGTGTCTCTTCTGCCGGCTGTTCTACCAAATGCTCCTTTACCTTCCTGCTTATGCCTAGGATGTCGTGCACCATGTTACAAAGATCCTGGTCTTGCAAGTCTATCCAGTTAATGAAGTTATCTTCCTGATCCCACCCGTCATCCATGTGTACGTCGGGAAGAGTTGCTTCATCTTCGAGCCAGGGTTGCGATAAAAGGTTGACTTCTTCTTCGCATACTTTGACTCATTGCTTCCTCGTGTGTCTGCATCTTGAGAACGTGACCTCTCTATGTTCCCAGTCAACTCGGGGGTTATGTTCTTGTAAGAACTTCATGCCAAGGATCATCGACATGCGTCCAAGGTTTGTGACGAGCAAACTCTCAGTTGATCGGTGCCCCCCGATTAAGCTGCTTGTGACTACACGATGAGTAATTGTGCCTCCCTTGTTGGGACTGGCGTCTGCGTTGAGGATTCAGATTTCATGGTTTAGAGGTATCATCTTAAACCCGTGCTTCTCAGCGAATCTTTGGTCGATATAGCAAGAGAATGCTCCAGAATCCAATAGTGCCGTCATCTGGATTTCCCGTGATACGAATCTTATCGGCAATTCGATCGAATGTTTAGAAAAACCCGCAGATGCAATATATAGATGATCGCTAGGTACATTCATTCTCACGGTACTAATACAATTGTCCTGAAGTGTGACACCAGACTCGTCTACACTTCGTACTGAAAATCCTCTGAGAAATCGTCTATCTCGACGATTCTCGCATTGGTGTCCTTAACCGTTGATGTCGATATAGTTGACTCCGTGTCCACACTGTTCGCCTTTGCCTTGCCCTTGCCTTTACTGGACAGTGGTGTAGTCAACGTTGTGCTCATTCCACGAAGTGCAGCAATTGCTTGTTCCAGTGCCGCAATTTAAGTTGATGAGCCCGCGCTACTTTCTTCTTCCACCTGTCACACGTTCGTTGCCTTGCCCTTCCCTTTTCCTTGCCCTTGCTTCAGGGCGGATCATGTCTGAAACTGCTTGCCCTTGTATTCAGACTTGGGAGAGGGGCACCGCTTTCCTCGTTCATAGGCGTGCTTTCTGCAAAACAAACATAGTTTGTTTGCCAGCCATCTGTCCTGTTCCGGGGATAGTTCGTGTGCAATTCATGTGCTAGTGTCCATCGCATTGGGGTCCTTGAGAGCGGTTGCCCTGGTCGTCGCGGTCTGTCCTGTAGCCTTGTTGCCTGAGATTTGTTGGAGATGTTTGATTTCGATCTCCAAGCAGAACTCGAGATAGTCCATCCAGGTGGTTGGAATCTTTGAGGGGTCCAAAGTCTCTGTTACCGACATGACCGTTTGAATGTGGGTCGACCGTTGTTCCCTGATTTTGATGATTAGATCTTCATCAGAGTATCCTGATTTGGGGGCGTAAGCCCTGAAATTCTCTGCGAAGGCGATCATGGTCTTGTGGCGAATTGCACAGTGTGCATCTAGCAGGGATTGTGCCGTGTGCTTGGGGTCAAGCATCTTGTATGCCATTTCTAGTTTTCGCGTATATTCTGCCCATGTGCCAACGTCTTGTCCAGAGGTGAGCTTGATTGCGTACTCCTTCATGTATAGAGCAGCTCTGCCTTCCAGATGCACGTTGGCTTGCTGAATTTTGTCCTTGTCGTCTGTGAAATGGTTATAGTCGAGCCAAATGAGCAGGTTCGTGAACCAGGTTTCAAAATTTTCTGACGACTTCCTTCCCGAATACTTGGGAGGATCGGGGAGCTTAATTCGCTGAGGCGATTGACTAGATTGACTGGCCGGTGGTTGGATACCTGTGGAGGGCATATTGATAATGGCATTATTGAGTCAAGACTCTAAGCCAACAATGTAGGTAGTGGTCTTTTCCTGAGCCTCCTTCAGGGCGACCATGTTGCTGTAAAGGGTGTCCATCTGACCCTTTATTTCATCCTTGTAGTCTTCGAAGTCCTTGCAGATTGCTTGGACTTCAAGTGTCAGATTGTTGTTCACCTTGATGAGCCGTTTGCTGTCGGCGGAGAGGGTGCCGATCTGGGCTCTTGCAACTTTTAGCTGGTCTCGCATTTCTACTGCCATTATTTTGACGTGGATACGAGCCAGCACTTCATCTTCCAACGAGGCCACCGTGCGCTCGTGGCGCTCATCCATTTTTTGACGTAAGGCTTCATATGAGCTTACAACGTCTCTCATGACGAATGATCGCACCACGTTCATTACCCATTCCTTAACGTCGTTTGGGATGGTGTTGGGTGCAGCAGCATTGGCGGCTTCTTCGATGGTTGTGTAAGGGACTCCCTTCCATTCCCAAGTCTGAGGTGTAGAGAATGCTGGCAGGGTGGTAGGTGATGGGTTTCTGACTACTCCCGACGCCTTAGGTGCGCTGCTGTTATGTGGTTCTTCTGCAGGGGCAGCTGGTCCTGCTTCAGATGATGTGGAGGGGGTGTTACTCCTCCATGGGTCAAAAGGTTCACTTGCGGTATGTCCTCCTGGAAACGCCATGCCTCCAAGATTGTATTGAGACATTGGTATCATTGTTGAAGATAGCGGAAATGAGGAAGCGTTCGAAATGATGATTTTACTGGGGTGGATTATTGGCTCCCGGTAATTGTGCTAGTTCGATAACTCGATTCCTTCATGCTGCGGCTTCTTCGAGCCTTGCTGGGCAAGGGTGTCTCTGTTCTGGAAAGTCTCTGTACCAGTTTACCCAGAAGCGTTCTTCGTCTTCCTGATATATCTGAGCAAGACGTTCCCAGTAACGGTTTTCTATCCACTCGCGAACTGGATCGATGATTTCGATGTCTGTTTCAATGAGTCGAAAGGGTGTGTGTAGGGTGATTCAACGTTCGATGTCAACCGGATAGTGATAAAGTGAGATGGAACTCTCTGATAATAGGGGTTGATAGATGAAGTAGCCCGTACACACCAGATGGTGATATAGGTCAGTGATGTAGTGCTCGACCACGTAGTTTCTGAATACGAAACTAACTTGATACCGGGGCATGAAACTGCTGATACGGTGATACAAAAATATTACTGGTCCTAGTAAGGCCAGTAGCACGACTCCTTCTCGAACCTCACAATGTCTCGTCCTACGCGCTCCTGCTCCTTGTTGATTCCTCTGAATGAAATCTTCCCTAATCCTATGCAAAGCTTGATAGCGATGCATCTATCGATGAATGTAAAGTCATCGCCTCTCCCAATCCTCTCGTTGAGTGCTCCTAGGTGTCACAGAATGCGATCACGGCACTGGATCTGTTCCTCCATGAACTTGGCAGCGATGTGGGGCTGCTGCAAGACTTTGTAGCGCTGGATGGTAGCATATACGGTCAGCGCAATGTTCTCAGGGAGGGTGCCTTTGGGGTTCTCATGAATCCCTTGAGGGTGATAGTCCTTTGAGAGTGCGAATGCGAGGACAGCAGTGGCGTCCTCGTTGGACCACCAGTAGGGTTTGTAGATGGGAATGGATGGGTCAGATGTGCTTCTGGGAATTGCTTCAGCCCACGAGCTGACCTTAGAGCGAAGCTTCTGTAGGTCAGAACGATAGTCGTCGGGCTTGGCACGGAGTAGATTGCTCGCTGTTAGATGGAGAGTGCAACAGGGATCACGTTGGTAAGGGTGGTAGCATCCGTTGGGCAGAACGATACCGTTGTGCACTTGTGGCACTTTACCGATCGATGCAGCGCTGTTCCTTTTGAAGGAAGGGAGCAGCTTAGGTGGTAGAGGTGAAGTGGAATGGTATGAAGGAAGTGGTGTGGAAAAAGCCCTGCCCTGGGCGGATGTATCTCTGGGCAAAAATGCGCAGCTACCAGTGTTAGACACTTGGTAGGGGTGTAAAAGGTCAGTCTTATTCTAATGTCATGGCACGCCAATGACAAAGATAGACAACCAAATAGAGAGTCCCCTTGAGGGTCTCCTGGCTAAAAGCCTACAGCGACAAGCTGTGGTGATACGACGTGCCCACTGATGAGGCCCGAGTGCTAGTCACAGAGTATGACTTACTGGCGAGGCAGAGGGTGCTATCACAAGATGAGAATGCAAGTAGATTGTATAGCACACTGAGAGTGTCTGGTAAGACCCCTCTGTGATGGTAGTGGTGGATGAAGGAGAATAAGACTGAGGTCTCCTCCTCGTCTAGCTGATCCTTATATACATGATTGCCTAGCTACTATACAGTACTATGTAAGCGAGTCACACGCTACTCTACTGATCAGTGCTACAATCGTGCGACATGTCCCAATTATCCTGATTGGCTGCCTAATAATAATCCGCAGAGACGGGGCTCCTCTTGAGCATGCAATATGGCGTTATGGCGATTGCGACATATAATGCCATGCCGAGGAGTTCAGTGTCACATGACAATGCCGAGAGAGATCTGAGGTCATGTGACTAGATGCCTTTTATCTTATCTCTTATTAAGTCACATGACTTCTTGTTCGACGCGAAATGATGAAAATAATATGCTTCTAATAGCATTCGTTCCTATAATGACTTGTCAGGTAAAAACCGTGACAGCCTTGCACAAAAGGTGAAAGGGGAGAGCTGGCCTGCTGGCTGCATACAATAGTTGAATGAATCTAAGGTCTTCCCTTATGTCACAGTTTTTACCTGACAAGTCATTATAGGAACAAATGCTATTAGGAGCATATTATTTTCATCATTTCTCGTCTCACAAGAAGTCACGTGACCTAATGAGAGATAAGATAAAGGCATCTAGTCACATGACCTCGGGTCTTTCTCGGCATTGTCACGTGACACCGAGCTCCTCAGCATTGCGTCATATGTCGCAATTGCCATGGCGCCATATTGTGTGCTCAAGAGGAGCTCCGTCTCCGTGGGTTATTATTAGGCAGCCAATCAGGATAATTGAGACACATCATACGATTGTAGCACTGACCAGTAGAATAGCGTGTGACTCGCTTATGTAGTACTGTACAGTAACTAGACAATCATATATATAAGGACCAGCGAGACGAGGAGGAGACCTCAGTCTTATTCTCCTTCGTCCTCCACTACCATTACAGAGGGATCTTACCAGACACTCTCAGTGTGCTATATATCTAGTATCATTCTCATTTTGTGATAGCATCCCTCACCTCGCCAGTAAGTCTTACTTTGCGACTAGTGACTCGGCCTCGTCAGTGGGCACGTCGTATCGCCACAGCTCATCACTGTAGGCTCTCAGCCAGGAGACCCTTAAGGGGACTCCTTATTTTGGTTGTCTATCTTTGTCATCGGCGTGCCATGACATTAGAATAAGACTGACCTTTTACGCCCCTACCAAGTGTCTAACACTAGTAGCCGCACATTTTCGCCCAAAGATACATCTGCCCAGGGCAGGGCTTTTTCCACACCACTTCCTTCATACCACTCCATGTCGCCTCTACCGCCTAAGCCGCTCCCTTCCTTCAAAAGGAACAGCGCTGCATCGACCGGTAAAGCACTGCAAGTGCACAATGGTATTGTTCCACCCAATGGACGCTACCATCCTTACCAACGCGGTCCCCGTCGCACTCTTCATCTAACAGCGAGCAACCTACTCCGAGCCAAACCCGACAACTATCACTCAGACCTACAGAAGCTTCACTCTAAGGTTAGCTCGTGGGCTGAAGCAATCCCCAGAGACGCATCTGACCCATCCGTCCCCATTTACAAACCATATTGGTGGTCTAACGACGACGCCACTGCCGTCCTCGCCTTTGCACTTTCTCAGGACTATCATCCTCATGGGATCCACGAGAATCCCAAAGGCACACTTTTCGACAACATTGCGCTGACTGTACATGCTACTATCCAGCGTTACAAAGTCCTGCAGCAGCCTCACATCACTGCCAAGTTCACGGAAGAACAGATCCAGTGTCGTGATCGCATTCTGCGACATCTAGGAGCCCTGAACGAAAGGATTGGACGAGGCGATGACTTCATGTTCATCGATAGATGCATCGCTATCAAGCTTTGCGTGAGACTAGGGAAGATTTCATTCAGAGGGATCAACAAGGAGCAGGAACGAGTAGGAAGAGACATTGTAAGGTTCGAGAAGGAGTCGTGCTATTGGCCATACTAGGACCAGTAATATCTTTGTACTACCGTATCAGCAGTTTCATGCCCCAGTATCAAGTCGGCTTTGTATTCAGAAACTACGTGGTCGAGCACTACATCACCGACCTTTATCACCATCTGGTGTGTACGGGCTACTTCATCTATCAACCCCTATTATCAGAGCGTTCCATCTCACTTTATCACTATCCGGTTGACATCGAACGTCGAATCACCCTACACACACCCTTTCGACTCATTGAAACAGACATCGAAATCATCGATCCAGTTCGCGAGTGGATAGAAAATGCTTACTGGGAACGTCTTGCTCGGTTGTATCAAGAAGACGAAGAACTCTTCTGGACAAACTGGTACAGAGACTTTCCAGAACAAAGACACCCTCGCCCAACAAGATTAGAAGAAGCTGCAGCACGAAGGAATCGTATCATCGAACTAGCACACTTACCGGGAGCCAATAATCAGCCCCAGTAAAAAGCTCATCATTTCGACCAGCCTCTCCGCTGCCTCTTTTCCATTATCTTCAACATCGATTCCCATATCTCAGTACAACCTGGGCAGAGTTGCATTTCCAGGAGGACATACTGCAAGTGAACCTTCTGACCCATGAAGGAGTAACACCCCCTCCACATCATCTGAAGCAGGACCAGCTGCCCCTGCAGAAGAACCCCACAACAGCAGCACACCCAAGGCATCAGGAGTAGTCAGAAACCCGTCGCCCACCACCCTGCCAGAATTCACCACACCTCAGACTTGGGAATGGCAGGGGATCCCTTACGCAACAATTGAGGAGGCCGCAGATGCCGCCGCACCTGATACCATTCCAAGAGACGTAAAGGAATGGACAATGAATGTGGTGTGAGCATTCATCATGCACGACGTTGTAAGCTCGTACGAAGCATTATGTCAAAAAATGGATGAACATCATGAGCGCATGGTAGCCTCATTGGAAGAAGAGATCTTGGCCTGCATCCACGTCGAAATAATGGCGGTGGAAATGCGAGACCAACTAAGGACCGCAAGAGCCCAGATCGGCACCCTCTCCACCGACAACGAACGACTCATCAAGTCAAATAACAGTCTGATGCTCGAAGCTCAAGCAATCCGCAAAGACTTCGAAGATTATAAAGATGAAGTAAAGGGTCAGATGGACACCCTTTATGATAACATGGTCACCCTGAAGGAGGCACAGGAGAAGACCACCACCTACATTGTTGGCTTAGAGTCCCGACTCAACAATGCCATCATCAATGCGCCCTCCACAGGTATCCAACAACCGGCCGGCCAATCCAGTCAATCGCCTCACCGAATTAAGCTCCCCGATCCTCCCAAGTATTCGGAAAGGAAGTCGTCGGAAAACTTTGAAACTTGGTTCATGAACCTGCTCATCTGGCTCGATTATAACCATTTCACAGACGACAAGGACAAAATTCGGCAAGCCAATGCGCATCTGGAAGGCGGAGCTGCTCTAT